ACCCATAATCTCAAAACTCCACAGAAGAAAAGTTCATGCAATAAAAGATTTCTGCTCCAGAAAGAACACATAAAAGATGTCATTTTCATGTATAGGTACTTATAAGTATAATTTAGAATTGACAAAGAAATTCATTCCCACTAATATCCAGTAAAACACAAGGATAATACAACTTAAAAGGAATCCTATAAGTAAAGATGTGGTGTCTTCTCAAAAGATATACGGATCCCATAATTGATTTTACGTAACATACCAACCAACTAAATAGCTAGACAGAGTATATAAGGGCGAACCAATAGCATATCAAATCAATGCTGATTCAAGTAAATATATTAAACAGCTACTAGGCAGCAACCACTTCTTCCCATAACCAATGAACTCCGAAATGTAAAGATAGCTCATAATTTAATTATCACAAGTAAAAATTTTAGGAGTTCACAATTGGACTCTCTTTCTTCTCTCTCTCCCTCATCAATACAGAAACCCCAGTTTCACCATTTTTGATCCCCATTAAAAAGCCACATCTCCTACCCACGTTTGGGTTCTGTTTTCGGACAAATATTTGATAAAGCATCCTATGATGAAACATCATATTAAGCATTCTTTTAATTGTCAAGTGAAAACAAAGAAGATCATCACTCTAGGTCCCATAACCCAATTGTTCTAAACTCCAAACGATGGTATTCTCAACATATAAAGCTAAAGATAAGTAGCCTCAGTTGGGTAAAAAAACAAATTTCCATAAGTCCCCAACCAAGGAAACCTCTAAGATTCAGAGCAGTCTTTTGTTTTTGCACAGCAAGAAAATTAGGCATTGAGGTAGGTTACATGTCAAAACCCCCCGTAACAGAGCTTCTGTGATTTCAGCCAAATATTTGAAGTTTGTATCGCTCTATATAGGATCTTATACTCCTGGAGACCGATTTAAAAGATGAACAACTAGTACAAAGATTCAGGATTTTCAGCCAACAAAGTCGAAATTCTTATGGGTTTACTGTCAACAGTGAAAACACATCAAAATTAATCATAAGAGAACTGGATGGAAAGCCGCATCTCCACAAAGACCCGAACTTTGGAATGAAAGTAAGAAACTTTACTATCTGGAAAATCACAGAACTAGAAATCCCAAAAGAGCAACAGAAGAAAAGAAAAAAAAAATGTAACTTCCATAAACCTAAACAAGCAAGATCCATCAGACAGCATGAACACCACATATAATAAACTTGATAGAACTGAGCTGACCATCAAAATCATTTCTTTTATCTTATGGCCAGCATCAAAATCATTTCAATTAGCTTCAAACTCCAAATCCCAAAGCCATCAAAAATAGAAAGTAATAAAACAGACAATGAAACGCTTATTCCAATCAGAAATGTAAAGAAGGAGAGGAGAGATATGACACTGACCTGGTGTGAGAAAACTGTTAGGTGCATCTTCAACAAAAAACCATCACTTGCAATCTATTCAAGTACTCATATGAGACTCAGAAAAGACCAATAACGATATGGGTTTTCCTCAGTCAGTGGATTTGAAGTTCAAGCCGTTCAAAAACTGAAGATTTTAATCGCAAAAATTATGATCTGAAAGAGAAATATTGGAAACCCAGATCAAGAAACTTTGAGATTCGAAGAGATTAAGGATTGGCATGTGAGGCACAGCAAGTGTGGCAACCCAAGAAACTAGCCAAACTGAAACACGAAGAGAGAGAGCTGAGAAGGGTGAAGAGATATTTGTTGATTGGCTCTGTAGTCCGCGACTCTGTAAACTGTGATGAGTTGTATGTAATATGTGTGTAAGTGTATGTACGCGTAAGAAACTTAAGAAAACAAGGTCATTTTGGTAACTGAAATATACGCTTTGCTTTACCATATGACGAGTTGCTTCTTAAACTTAGGTTCAAAAGTCATATGCTTAACATCACACACTGTTTTCCCAGACCAAAAATATATACATGTCTTGTACTGTATGTCTGTCAATCTGTGTGCTTCACAGTTCACGCTGGAAAAAATGTCAACAAAATGTGCAAATTTGATGGCTTTTTGTCTCCACCAGTGTAACCTACTAATTTACCATTTATTTTCTATCAGCAAAGAGGGAAAATAAAAATGAAACATAATCAACCCTTTATTTAGAAGATTATGAACTATTTATGGGATTAAGATTTATTTTATTTATTTTTCATTTTTTTCATTTTTTGTCTAGGAAAGCAACGAGTTTTTGATTGTTTGAAGTGAAATTGTGACAGCTAGAGTTGAAAATTACTAAAATATTCCTAAATTACATTGCTTCTCAGATATTAGCTAGCTTCGAGGATTGAGAGGTTGGTAATTGTTGAGAAGATTTCAAATAAAAAAGATCAAGTAAACAAAAGATGAATGGGTAAACATTGGATTTGAAGATGAATATTGTGGTTTAGTGAGCTAACATTTTGCTTGTATTTGTTCTTTTGTGTACGTTTTAGTAAGATCATAGAAAGAAAGAGAGGTGGTCTTCTAACCAACCTTATCTACTCAACTAAATTTGCCAAGCCATATCCCTAATTCTATGCCTTCAACTTTGTTTTCAACAGCCACTTTTTTTTTTTTTCAAAGCAATTTTTTGAGGCCTTCAGACTTCCATGATACGGGAATAACACTATTTCTCTATTCCTAACCAATAACACTATGACACGTATGATAATATTTCAATATAACATAGCATTATTGGTCGGAATTGCAAAACAGTTCTATCCCGGTTGCAACTAAGTTTCTCTACGAAGAGTTAGAGCCAAAGAGAAGCCCGTAGAAAAAGGATAACAACGGCTCCCAATAGATAGGGACCATCTTTAAAGGGCACTACTTTACCATTTAAGGAATCGTACCCCATTATTTCTTTTTGTGAAGCTTCTGTGAACTAAGACGATGACACTGAATTGGCCGACAAAACTGGATCAAAGCTGTGATATATCTTTCCAAATGACTCAGAATAAAAGCAAATTTATATTCTTATTTGAAATTGCAATAATCTGTATATATGTATTTAATAGACTTTTTTTTAATTTTGAAGTTTTATTTATTTTTATTCATATAAATTTTTATTTAGACTATTGCTTTACATATTTTTCATTTTAAAATGAAACTAGTTTGTGTTTTGAAACTTTGTCTTAAATAAAGGCCATTTATTCCAAGTAGTGAAGAAGATCATACTTTTCTTGATTCTGAACCGAAATAACTTGTCCTGCATAAGCCAACCAACAAAAAAGAAAATACCAAAATTGATGGGATATATTAATGGATGACAGCCAGCTGCATATATGGCAGTCCTTTAGTTCAATTTTGTCCAAAATCTGGATAAGAACCCACGCTTTACATTAAAATAAAGATGATGGCAATAATAATCGTCCTTAATTATGTTTTTTTTTTTCTAGTATTTTTCAAAGGAGGTTGAAGTTATATCTGTCTTTTGACTTTCTTGCTTACCCATTTGTTTTCTGCACCATATGGAAAGAGCTCAAGGTAGACTATAAGAACAAAGCATGTGTCTTGAAATATACACATTGATTAAAATTACACAAACTCCCACCTTGAATGAAATTGGGGTGCTTCATTCTCAAAAACATGCAAAAGTTTTGAGTTTACTTTATACGCGTGATTTGTAATTTAATAATTACACGTATTCAGATAATTACACGTATTCAGAATTTACTCGGGAGAGTCATAGAGGCTTTCCTTCCTTGTTACCCCAAAAATTGGGTACTTCATTGAAAGTTCGTAGTATCACATGCTTCCAATTTCCACACAAAAAGGATTGACTTGCTAACAACAAAAATCCATAATATCATGCTTCCCACAAAATTTTGAACATTTGTTGTATGTGTGGGTCTTGGAAGAAAACAAATAAACGCGTGGGCAGATAAAGTGGTCCAAGAGAGACCCCCCTACCCCTCCAGTACACGGACAACAACAACCACAGTATGCAGCAGAGCATGGTTTCTTCCTTCTATTTCAAGCCTGTATGTCTTTCAAGCCATGCAATTATTGGAAGAGTTGGTGATTTTAGGACCTTTTTTGAAGTGTTAGTTATGACCCGTTTGAGTTTTCTTCAAAATATTTTGACTAAATAAATATACGAGGGTTTTCAGAATTCATAGTTAAGCAACCTTTCGTCTTTATTGAACAAAGTCATTCCTAAACACTTTAAGAAGAAATGTAACTCCCAAGCAACATATCTGAAGCAACAGTATAAGTGCAATTTCAGTTTCATGAGAAAGTACAATATTCAGAGACTTCAAAGACATTCTTGGGCCTAGCAATAACTGATAATCTGCTTATGTACATGTTACTAATTACTTATGCCATGCTTTCCAGAGTGTTTATCTGGATTATATAATCAAATCTTGAGTAATTCTTTTGTCACTTGTCAGAAAATTGGATTAGTTATATGTTGTCCAACTTGTTTTGAAACATTGTGACTTAAACAGTTTGAAGGAAAGAAAGGAAGAATGGAAGAATGTAGGGCCACAATGTGAAGTTGCAAACCTGCAACTCGTTCAACCACCAAATCCAATAGTGTTTTCATCTTTAGATTCACCATCATCTTCTCCATTTTGATCTTGTCTGCATACAAAGATGAAAGAGAACAGCTGGACAGATCAATGATGTCAAATACAAAATTCAATTCAGTTGTACTGGAGATGCTTTTGTGAAACAAAAAGAAGAGGAAAAAAATCAAAATTTACTGAACTGATTATATCTTATGAGAGGCAGACCTTGGATACACACTTCGTTGACTTCTTTTCTACTTCCACTCCTGCAAAGCCATCCCTTTATCAAGCCAACTAGATCCAGGTTTCTTGAGGACCTTCCTCTGCTTCATCACCTTCCTTACTTTCTCAACCTCTTCCCATTCTCCATCAGCAGCATAGATATTTGAAAGTGTCACAAAACCTCCAGGTCTCTTTAACTCCATTTTTAGAATAGCTTCAGCCATCATCTTTGCAAGATCTCTTCTTCCATGGACTTTACACCCATTGAAAAAGGCGCCAACAATGGATTCAGTGACCTCAACAGGCATTTCCCTGATCAATTCGTAAGCTTCTACCATCTTCCCTGACCGGCACAAGAGATCAACAACACAAGCGTAATGTTCTTTACTTGCCTCAACTCCATGACTCCCTTTCATGGACCTGAAAATCTTTAAGCCTTTTTCCACATAACCACTATGGCTGCATGCAGAAAGTACACATGTCAAAGTCACTTCATTTGCATGCACTCCTCCCTCTTGCATTCTTTCACACACTGCCACATTTTGAGTACATATCAATAAGAGCACTAGCAACAAAGACATTTATGTCAAAGCCTCTCCTATAGATCAATCCATGAATTTCTCTCCCTCTTTGAATTGAACCAATCAACCCACAAGCTGGGAGCAACCCTGTGATTGTCACAAGGTTCGGTTTAGTTCCAGACAGCAACATGACACGGAACAGTTTAAATGCTTCACCAGCATGCTGGCTTTGGGAAAAACCAGCAATTATTGCATTCCAAGTAACCAAATCTGGAACCAGTCCTCCTTCAGTCATTCTAGAGAGAAGTGCATATGCTCGCTCTGTATCTCCACACCGAGCAAACCCAGCTATCATTGCATTCCATGTGAAATAATTTGGTTCCAATTCATCCAACTTCATCCTCTCGAACAAAAGAAGGGCTTGATCAGTCTTTGCTACATTAAAATACCCGCATATCATTGATGTCCAAGAAGCAACATCTCTGTCGAGCATTCTGTCAAACACACGGTGAGCATGACATACACTTCCACATTTACAATACATATCTATCAAGGCATTTGCCAAAGATACATCCTTCGCAAAACCAAGTTTATTTACCATAGCATGAACTTCTTTTCCCTTATTCAAATCCATCAAGCCAACACAGACTTTAAGCATGACTGGAAACGTGAACTTATTGCCAATAACTCCCAATTCTTGCATCAAATAAAAGTACCCAATTGCTTCATCATAATGCCCATTAAAGGCAGAGGCCAACACCATCCAATTTAATGCAAAAACATTTGGCTTGGGAATTTTATCAAACACAAGCTTTGCAGAACCCATATCCCCACAACTAGCATACGTCCCAACAAGCTTTGAGCTCAAAGATAACAAGTTCATGTCAACCCGACTTGTTAACAACACTGCATGAACTTGCTTTCCTTGTCTCAGAGCCTTCGCTTTCAGGCATTTTTGCAAGCACAAAGCCAAATGGTCTGGAGACAACTTGAACAACGAAAAAGGTGCCATTTTCATGACGTGAAAATGTACTCCATAAACGGCATAGATGATTCAAACCCATAGCTGTTTCATGGCCTCCCTCTGTATATGAAATTTTGAATCTTGAAAATTGACAGCAGGGATGGCCTATCCAGCTCAAGGGTACGGTATAACTTATGGAAAAGCAAGTTCCTTCATTTAAATAAGGGACCGGACCTCATTTTCATTCAACTTCACCTATCAGTCGCAGCAGCACAAGTGCTTGACCTTGGCAGACATGTCTCAACAGGTACTGCTTTGTCTTCTCTCTCATTCTCTTTGGATTTCTTTGTTTTTCTTACCAAATTTACAAATTCCTATGTGGGTCTAGCCTTTTTTTATCACATTTTTCTGTTGTGTTTCTTAAAGTTACAATCTTTCTTGTGTAGAATTTCCCAGACTAAATTTCCAAGTTCGTTCATTTTTTTTAAAAGTCTTGTACAAGGAAGGCTGGCCTCTGTTTTTGCAGCCAATTAATGTTAGAGCTGGGTATGTAAAACAAATGGTAAATTGATTAATTGATTTGTGAATATGCAATAATATTTGGTGCATGCTATATATGTCACAGAAAATGGTTACAATGCATTGAATGAACATATATTGGCTAAATAAAATTATTTCTTCGGTTTTTTGAGACATAATAAATTTCTGATACCCAGAAAAGTGGAATTATAATTGCAAGCACTCAAAATACTGAACTTATAAAAGAGGAAGGATCAGGTGGAACTGAGACTTCAACAGTTCCTTCAAGCATCTGTGTGACTTTCTTCATTGTGGGTCTGAGTGATGGATCCTCCTGAATGCACCAAACTGCGATCATCACAT